TTTTTTTGGAATCAGCTGCACGCTGATTGACTGAGCGTATTTTACAGAATACTAATAACAAGAGCTGCAAACACAGAGGGAATACGTATAAGGGAGTTGTTGAACCTGCCGAAGGATTTGTATTTCTGAGATCTTGACATTCCCTTCACATGGCCAGACAGAGGATACAGTGGTGCCATCTCACTGGACAAAATAGTCTAGCATCGGCCCTGTTCCCAGCACACAGCTTCCGTCCTTCCCCTCATGCCATTGGCTCCCGGACGGAGAAGCCTCCTGGTTGCCTCGGCGACCAGGAGGTGGTCCTGATTCCCACTGGCTATAAATTCCAATCAGAGCCCTGGCTTGTTGCTGAGTTATTCCACCCATACGGTGCGATCACCTAGCCTCTTGTGTTGGATGCTGCTGCCGTTCCCTGACCCCTCATCTGAATTCCTGGTTACTGACCCCTTGGCCGGCCTTTAACTCTTGAACCTAGCCGCCTGCCTCGACCCGGACTGGACTTTGACTACCCCTTTTGGATTGCTCTCTTGTACCTCGTTTTTGGATCTCCTTGCCCGCTTCCTGTCAGTGGGTTCCCCTCTACGCCTTAAAGGAGAACTATGGGGTCAGTGCTTTTCCCCATAGTTCTCCTAAGGGTCACAAACTAGCGTCCTCCCATGACCCAAAGCTCAGTATACCGCCACGGCCGGAAAAGATCCCGACATTACTATCGAGATCCACCCAGCTGCGTGATTGACAGCTGGCTCTGTATCTAGAGGCAGAGCCAGCTGTACCCTCCCCCGTCTGTTCCGCCAGTCAGCGATGAAGGATTGGACAGGAGGGCGGGGGGGGGAACCCATGCAGAAAGCCGTGAGTGACAGTCACGGCTCTCTGCAGGGACAGGATCGAGAAGTGAGCGAGCGACGGTATGTGTTCGCTCACTTCCCGATCTATTGAGCCGACGTTCGACAATTTCATTGTCACACGTCGGCTCGAACTATGAGGCTGAGTGGTTTTCACTCACCTCATAGTTCTCCTTTAAGTCGTCGATACCCCATGACAATGATGTCTATAAGATGTATGAACAGTAAAACAGAATAAGAAACAGTGTCCGGGATCCTATAGGAGCAAGTGGGAGCTGCCTCTGTGTCTCCTGAAGGGCCGTGTCACTGTTTGTAGAGTTTGTTTCTTTGTTTCTATTTTGTGGTAAAATGCGTAGAATATTTTGGATAGCCGTAATAATGATATGTTTCCTTTTTCCTCACAGTTGCGTTCATTACTCTTGCGAGGAGACGGACTGTCAAGCATTGGTGCTGGGAAATGCTACCGTGAACTGCTCAAGCGGTCACTACAACGGGGCTCACTGCGAGGTGGAGTGTCACACTGGCTATAGGCTACAGATACACAGAAGCAAAGACCTTCTGAGAAATAAGGTCAGTAAACAGAAAATGCATGGCAGGTAGTAATATGGTTTCCTTTCTTTCCTATGGTCAGTTTATCATTGTAAATCATTCAGAAGGTGGCAAGTTAATGGGCGAGTTTGGTAGATGCCGAAATAAGCAGATCAAAAAAAAAATCCAGTGGACCTCAACTCAAAAATTGAATCCATATATGTTTATTGTGCCATAAAAATCTGCCTAGTGTCTTGAATTCTTCCTAAAAAATATCAATGTACTTTCTGTTGCTTGCCACCTCTGTGCCTTGAGCTGTATACCTGCATTGCGAGATCATCTAAGGCACTGCTGCCACTGACAGCCAGCTTTACTAGACTTGGGTGTGAAATCTGGTGATGTCACTCATGTGTTGCTCTCTGTTCCTTGCTGGAAAGTCTATTGCACCCAGCGGCGAAACTATCGCCGTAGTGACCCAGGCAGCCGATATGGGGCCCGTGGCACAGGGGGGCCTGGCCAGGATGAGGAACAAAGGGGTTCCCCTAACGCCGTGCAGGCCGTCTGGGTTGCTATGGCATCTCAGGCTGCTGGCTGCCACTGGCGGCTGTGAGGAGGAACGCGCCGCTGTCCAGATCACTGACAACCTGTGTGCGTTCCTCCTCACAGCCACTGCTGTCAGTGACTGTGGAGGAGGAGGCTGGGGCAGGCGGAGGAGGCGGGGCTTGGTGTCGGTGGAGGAGGGGGTGGGGCCCGGCGTTGAAGAAGGCTGACAGGTAAGAGGTGTGCAGCGGTGTAAACAGCCCACCTGAGACCCTGCAGAGCACACCATAAAGAGTCTATGGCGGGCTCTGCAGGGTCACTCTCAGGTGGGCTGTTTGGGTTCTCAGGTGGGCTCCGCGAAGGGGCTTAACTAGAAATCACAGGGCCCCTATACAAAATTTTGCTATGGGGCCCTGTGAGTTCTAGTTACGCCCCTGGTTTTACCTGAGAACCTGCAGTGCATGCATTTCCCTTCTCCATTTGAGCATAGGGGCGAACGGCAGCGAGCGAGCTGCCAGAGCTTCGGCTCAACCGATCCAGATTTTGGATCGGCTGAGTCAAAGTCCTCCTGCACTTCGGCTCAGCCAAACATCCAGAGCGTGTTTGGCTGACCGAACAGAGCCGATGTACGGCTGATTTTAGCCGATGGCTATTCACTTACTGCCGTTCGGCCCCTAGGATAATAGGGGGCGAACTGCAGCGAGCGAGCTGCCGGAGCTGCGGCTCAGCCGATCCAGATGTTGGATCGGCTCATTCGAAGTCCTTCTGCACTTCGGCTCAGCCGAACATGCAGAGCCTGTTCGGCTGACCAAAGGCAGCCGTACAGAGGACCAAAGGCAGCCGTACAAGCCAGAAGTGAATAGCCGAACGGCGTTCGGCTCACTTCACTTCGGCTCGGCTGTTCACTCGGCTGCCTTCGTAAATATTAAAATGAACAGAGAAATGTTAGTCTCCCTTTAAGAAACTCCATACATGTTCCTCCTCTGTAGTCCGCCTTCCATGCGAGGATTAGGTGACTCATGCTTATGCGGAGCATCTCTGGAATGGTGTTTGGATTGGTGGCATTCTTCTCTTTTCAGCCCTAATTGCCGTTAAACACAATGTGACTTTTCACTGCTATTGTTTGGAAATGTTGTGGGTGACCCAGCTTGTAATGGATGACAACCGTCCCTTTCACCCTGAACTTGGTATGCCTGTGTTTATGAATGGTTCTCATTCGTAGGAATACTCTTCACGATTTGGAATGTTGGCTTGGATTGCCGCAAAAATGAAACTGGAATGGTTGATGTGTGTTTCTGTATTGAGGTTTCCCTGTCGTAATCTGTAGAATGGAACGCTGCGGGGAAACTGTTTTTTTTTTGTCTAAAAAGACAAGTTTGTATGAAATGTGGACATTTGATGATAAGTATCAGTGGATGCCGATGCTTTGCTCAAAGGTTTGCCAATCAAATTTGATATTTCAATCCTGAATGGATGCCAATGGGTGGGATCACTTACCCATCTTCATCTGGGAAATATCTGCACATACGTTGCCAGCTCTGCACATCTCTCAGCATTCATGGCAATGAAGAACTCTAATCCTCATGACGTGAACTTACTGTCATCAGATATTGGTCTGAGGGTTGCTTTTAAAAAGAAAGCTATGAGGTGGGTGCTTTTCACTCGCCTCATAGTTCTAGCCGACCTGTGACAATGAGACTGTCACAGGTCGGCTCAGTAGATCGGGAGGTGAGCGAACACATACCGGCGCTCACTCGCCTCTCGATCCTGTCACGGCTCTCTGCCGTGACAGGGGAGGGGCTGGATTCCCCCCTCCCTGCTCCGACCCGCCAGCGCTGACTGTCGGAACGGACGGGGGGCGGGTTACAGCTGGCTCTGCCTCTAGATAGGCAGAGCCAGCTGTCAGTCACGCGGCTGGGCGGATCCCGGCACAATTGTCGGGATCCGCTTCAGCTGCGGCGTCTCAGTATACAGCTCGCGGTATACTGAGCCTAGGGTGACGGGAGGACGCTAGTTTGTGTCCTCCCGTTACCCTAAGGAGAACTATGGGGAAAAGCCTTAAAGTGACATTAAACCCTGAGATTTTTTTACATAAAACAATACTGTAATGTGTG